AAAGAAAAACCCTTCATGAAGTCGTCAAAAAAACACATTGCAGTTCAGTGCGTATAAGTAAGAAACAGCCCTTTAAAAAATACTTTAGACACCTAATGGCGTTCGATGGTGCAAACAGCTATCTTTCAATGTGACGGACTAGACGATATGCGTATATGAATGCCAACATTCGCTTTGAAATGGACACCCCGCTCTGCAGCAGTTTCACCTCTTTCCGAAGGTGACTAATATACTGTTACAAATTGTTAACTCTTACGCCCCTTACCGAAATGGTTGCTCCAGTCGTTTCCATAGTAATTAATTTTGCGAATGAACATGCTTATAAAGATGCGTAAATTTCAAGTTTGGTTATTCCTAAATATTCGCTTGAGGATGAAACAGGGCCTGCTACTTTAATTCAATTGAATTTTAATAATTATATTGAGATTTTTGGCTCTTGCTTTTGAAACATGAGAACTCTTATGTAGCGAGGGAATCATATTCTTTAAAAAATAATTATAATTTAATCTCTACTTTTGTATGGAGCACTGTGTTTTTAAAAATAAAAACAAAAATTCTAAAGAACACCGGATTATTTACCTAACGTGTTCTTTCCTATTTTTATGTATTTGCACACACACAAACACACACACACACACACACACACACACACACACATATATATATATATATATATATATATATATATATATATATATATATAAAACTCTTATCATCAATCCAAGAAAAACATTTGAATCACTACCACACAGAAAATTCATTTTTATAATATGGGGAAATATCTAAACTTTGCTTGAAGAACGTCGCGAAACCAAAACCCGGGTAGCAGAATTATTAAAAATAGAGTATAATGTATATTTTAAAATGAAACAAAACCTCCACATTTTAATCAAACACACACACACACACACACACACACATATATATATATATATATATATATATATATATATATTATAATATATTTTCTAAAAATATGATTCCTTCGCTACATAAGAGGTTTAATGTTTCAAAAACGAGAGACGAAACCATATATAATGAATATAACTAAGTTGAATTAAGTTAACAAGTCCCGTTTCATCTTCAAGCGAAAATTTAGGAATCTTGTGTTTTCAGAAGGTGGCGAATCTGTAGATAAGAATTAACTGTCTGACCACCTAACCAAGATGGCCGGCCCAGCCGTTTCCATAGTAACTAATGTTGCAATGAACCATACTTATAAACACGTGCAAACCACAAGATAGCTTATTCCTAAATTTTCGCTTAAGGATGAAACGGGACTCGTTACCTTAATTCAACTTAATTTTAATAATTATATTGATGGTTTCGGCTCTCGTTTTTGAAACATGAGAACTCTTATGTAGCGAAGGAATCATATTTTTAAACCAAAAAAACATTATTATAATAAAGCTCTACTTCTGTATGGAGCACTGTCTTCTTAAAAATAAAAACAAAAAATACTAAGGAACTCCGGATTATTTAGCTAACGAGTTCCTATTTTCTCATACTTGCGCGCATCCCCACAATATATATATATATATATATATATATATATATATATATATATATATATATATATTATACAGAATTGTACGTATTGAGATTTTTAATTCAAGGGATGTTTTTTCCAAGAGGTGCCCAGTGTTTGTTCGAATTTTGGTGTGAGAATGAGTGACGGATAAATTCTTATAGTGAATAAGTCTATTGTAATGAATGAATGGATCGTGAATCCGATCTGGTATAAGACAGCTAGTGATGACCAAACTTGACCAGAGTCACCTATTTTTTCGACCTTGTGCCAAAATAACTGTATCAGTAATAAATCTTAGACAAGCAACATTTGTACAAAGACTTATAATTTTTTGTACATTTGTGTATTTTTATTTGGGAAAATGTATTTAAATATAAATTTAAGAAGACATTCTGTTGAAATATTGTTTAACATTTTCAAAAGCTGTGTCTTTTCTTTATCGTTTCTTAAATCGCGCTCTTCGCTTAACTATTATTATTATTATTATTATTATTATTATAGCCTTTCTCTTCTATCTATAAGAGGCATATTTGTAATCAACAGCTTCCTTTACTCATTACGGGAGATTGCCGAAAAGTTCTCGTCAACGTAAACCAGACGAAAACATCTGATTGGATCTGCAACAGGTCACATGACCTTGCTAAATCTCCAGACATAACTGCTCGAAGTTGATTGTCTTCCGCGCAGAATTTAAAGCCAGCGGTGAATGAGGAGTTAAGAGCAAAGACTTATGACCTTTGAGGCTCTTCCAATACAATATGGTGACGACCATCTTTGCGAATGGTATCCGACAGACGGCGCTCTTTGGCAGTGAACGCGAGTGACGTCAGTGTTGTCATGGCAGCACAATTAATAGTCAGTTGCCGCCGTTCGTGGAGGGTTACTTTGGCGGCTTATGTGTGATTAACGCAGGAATATCGCCATGTGATAAGCGACTGAAGCGTGCAAGGATAATAAAATTTCCTCAGCAAATGCAACCACCAAATAACGATAAGGACAGTATATATATATATATATATATATATATATAGGGAGAGAGAGAGAAATAGAGAGAAAACTGTGCATATGGGTAGCAATCCATCTTTAATACATGTTTTGTTAAACATGAATATTTTTTTTTATTATATTTTTCTTGTATGCGAACAAGTGTTTTCTTTTCTGGACTCAATGTAGCGATTCTACAAATGTTTGTTCATTCGGAACGTTTTCGGTTTATCTATTAGCCATTTTCATCCATTTTAGTTATTGTACTACAAAACATACTGTGTCAGTACTAATGTGGGGAATCTAAAAGTTGTTGAAACGTCGACATGTTCTTAATTCTCGAAGACTTTCAGTCCATTTTGGCTTTGTTCATAATTGACATTATTAAGTTTAGTTACATCGTTTGTCAAAAAAGCTTCCATTATTTTAAATGTTTTTTTTTTTTTTTTTTTTGCCAAAGGCGCTTATAAAATTTGTGTTTACCACAAATGTGTTTAGTATGGAATTTGGCGCATTTCTGGGCTGTTTTAAATGTATACGTATGGGGTACTGGCCAGAGAGATATAGGCATATTCCCCAGATGCACAGATGAGTGATGTTGTGCCTGATATAAATATTTTTTCTTTTCTTCGGGAACGTAGTTTCTTATGAGGTATTCTTCATTCATTTATTCAGTGCATTTTGCGCTGCCGATATCAAAATTCCTCTCTCTCTCGCACCTAGTTGTAGTTTATGATCACATTAAAGGCAGAATGGTGCAATGGCTTGAGAATTCGTTTTGCACCGGGGATATTCAGTTTACTCCATCCCTCCTCTCAAAAAATAAAAAAGCAAGATCTACGGTATTTCAATTCAGAGTTTTCCTTCTGTTAAGACTGCGAGGGTATATGGGAGCTGCCCAGACTATATGACCCCCATCTCGGCCGTACCGACAAGATATCTAAAGAAATACAGGGAAATCGTTAAGGCTGCAGGAGTTATTGGAAAGTTTTCAGTGTTGGCAGACAACCGTCTTCGGGGCTGCACTTGATTTACTTCTATTGTATTTTCCATGTTTTGGACATGACCTCAAGTCAGCGGAAGTTTAAGATCAAAGTTTTTCTTCCCCTAGATGGATTTCCTTCCGGGCTGTTGAGCTCCATCTACCAGAAGCAGCTCGTCATGAGGTGAGAGTTGTCCGCTTTCGCCTATGCTTCGCCGGACTATTTCAGACGCATACTACAGAAGCATCTTGTACACAGTGGGAGCTTGTCTCCACTGTCACCCCGGTTATGACAATGGGGTATTAGCTTCGTAAAAAAATTTTGGTTTAATAAAGTTCTGATTTTGCTGAAGGTCTGCTGTTGCTGCTAAGTTTAAATCTTTTTAATTTTTTTGTAATTAATTTAGTTAGTTTAGATTGTTCATCTTGAGTGATTCCTTCTTTGTTATGTCCCTTGAATCATATCCATTCTACTTGTAATTACTTTCATTTGTATTTGTATATGTATAGGCACACTATATATATATATATATATATATATATATATATATATATATATAGATATATATATATATATATATATAGAGAGAGAAAAGTAAGAGATAGATAGATAGATAGATAGATAGATAGATAGATAGATAGATAGAATATAACGTTTCAATATCAGTGAACTTGTATAAAATTACTATTATAGTATGGTGCATATATAGCAAAATTTAAATTATTTTCCAGCAGCAGTGATGATTGCTCTTAGCACTCAATGCCGTGCTACTGAGGATATATATATATATATATATATATATATATATATATATATATATATATATATATATATTAATTCACCTCTTAGAACAAAATTAAATAGGGCAAATATTACTTACGAATTTAAATGCCCATTAAGGAATTGTATTCCTGAACAATCAAAATTCGTAAATAATTATATAGGCCACACTACAGCATGTTTGACACGAAGACTCACTCTACACCTTTCTTACCATAGCTCAATTAGATCCCCTTTAAATATCCATGGAGACATACCGGACACTGTTCGAAACGTACTTGTTGACAAAACTAATATAATCGCATTATCTACATGCAAAAAAGGATAAAAAAAACAACACTTAATAATATTAACTATGAATATGGACAAAATATCTTGACTATGTTTTGAAAAATGAAAACATTATATAAATACATACATGCAACACACTATTTCTTATTTAACAGTTAAAATATTTCATCCATGAAAATGGCTAAATGTATAGCCGAAAGCGCTCGGATAAAAAGAACATTTGGACAGTTTTTACATAATTTATCATCCGAAATAAAAAAAAAATTAGATCGCATGAGAAATTGTATAAAAAAAAACTAAATAAAAGCACATTGTCTCTCGTATAAATTCAAAGAATAAAAAATATTTAGAAATAAAAATATAACGAGAAAAAATAAATTATACATTTAGAAATAAAAAATAAATAAAGAATTAAATTAAAAAATTAACATTTAAAGGGAAGTTAAATCAAAAACAAGATAGATAGATAGATAGATAGATAGATAGCAATGGGAGATACATCTATAGATAGATATTAAAAAAACGACATAGATTGTGACAGAAAAAGTAGATAGATAGATAGATAGAGAGAGAGAGAGAGAGATAGAGAGAGAGAAAGAGAGAGAGAGCAAGCGTGAGATAAAGACGGAACTTATATTTAGAGATAGATATGAATAAAACAACATAGATTGCGACTGGAAGAGAATAGAAGAAAGACAGAAATTCAGAGAGAGTGACAGAGAAAAATAGATAGATAGATAGGAACAAACTGAGATAGATAGATAGATAGATAGATAGATAGATAGATAGATAGATAGATAGAAAAAGATGGAAAGATAGATAGATCTCAAGTGTGAGATACATCTATGGATAGATATGAATAAAATGACATAGATTGCGACAAAGAAAGGAAAAAAACAGAGAAACTGCGGGAGTGTGACAGAGAAAAGTATAAGATAGATAGATAGATAGATAGAGAGAGAGAGAGAGAGAGAAGATGGGAACAGATAGATAGATAGATAGATAGATAGATAGATAGATAGATAGATAGATAGCAAGTGGGAGATAAAATAAGAGGAAACTGACATTTATAGATAGATACGAATAAAACAGATTTCGACAAAGAAAGGAAGAAAGGGATAGATAGATAGATAGATAGATAGATAGATAGATAGATAGGTAGATAGGTAGAGAGATAGATAGATAGATAGATAGGTAGAGAGATAGATAGATAGATAGATAGATAGATAGATAGCAAGTGAGAGATAAAGAGGAAAGTGACATCTATAGATAGGAATAAAACAACTTAGATTATGACAAAGATAGGAAGAAAGACAGAAAAATAGAGGGAGATAGATAGATAGCTCTGATGAATTAAAACGTTGATCACAATATCAATATGTACAAATATATTGCAATGTCTAATATATGTCAATGTCAATATATTGCAATGTCTAATGAAAGAGAGATAAATAAAAAAACTGAGGATTGCATGGAGATCGATATACAGATATAGACCAGACTCAGGTCGATATCATTAGACAGGCAGACACATAGACTTATATTTATATATTTGAAATCGATAAAACTAATTCCACATATCAATCATATATTGTCTTCTTCCTCGTGATCATGGAGCTAACTGCATTTCCTACCATATTTACAAACATCTATAAAATAAATGCGAATGCCAGTGTGTCACTGTGTCACACCTTTTCAACTTTACACCTAGAGGCCGTAGCCCAACTTATCATACCATTTTGGACTCAGGCCGACCCTGTGAGCATATTTAAAACATTCCGAGTCAGAGCCTGAAATTTTGGATTCATATGTTTTCATTAATGTTTCCGGTGATTTTTCACGGGACTTTTGCGAAGAATTTTTTTTGTGCAATAACGATTTTGATAACTTCGAAATGAATTTGGGAATAATGGAATGTAACTTCGAATTCCAGCGAAAGTCACTCATGAGATAAAAATATTTTTTGTACGTAAAGTAAGGACCTACGTGCATCAAACTGTCTTTAAATTAAGTGGCAGCAGAAGAATTATCGTTGAAGTTTTAAAAGGTAAGCTTAAAAATTAATGCAGTACTTAAATGCAGGGATCAATTTTGAGTTCTTCTATAGCTTATTGTTACCTATGGCATCTACTCCTTCCTACCTATTGGGATGAAGGCCCAGTCAAGAGCACCCCGCAGGAGCTAGCTTAAGTGCTGCCCGATTTGGCGGCTTTTAAGCTAGTATTTTATATGTGTTATATCGCCTAAGTCTAAAAATTTTATCATTCAGTGGATGTGTAGGCACAAGTGTGGAACGGCGCGAAAACGTTCAGTCAGGTGTCATCTGCATGTTCTTTGCGATTTTCCCGTGTTCTGTGCCATAAATCCACCTTTATTGCTTTTTGTTGTCAAGAAATTGACAAATGCACTCCCAAGATGCTTAGGGCTCAAGTTTAAGGGTTTAAATTGTCTGCAATATCTTTTTAATAAGTTTTTACAGTTTATCCAAAATGAAAACGAATTTTCATGTCATTGCCTATCTCGGGATGGAGTGGTGGGGATAACAGCCTCCTCTCTGGCAGTTTTTATCTATATATTTATACATTTAGCTATGTGAATGCAATAAAAATAAAAGGAAAATCTGTTCGAAAAATTAGATTAAAATACTTATTTAAATATATATATATATATATATATATATATATATATATATATATATATATATATATATATAAAATTAATTGATTTAAACTATGTTTTTTCCGCTACACAGTTCTAACCATGTTTCAAAAATAGAAGCTAAAAGACTCGAATTTAACTTTGAAATTAAATTAAAAGCATTAGTTCCATTTCATCTTCAAGCAAATTTTAAAACCCAGTAATTTTTTAAAAGTTACTCCAAAATTTGCTTGAAGATGAAATGGAACTAATGCTTTTAATTTAATTGCAAAATTAAATTCGGGGCTTTTAACTATTTTTGAAACATGGTTAGAACTGTGTAAACTGGAAAAACAAATTTTAAATTAATTAATTTATAATATTAATGCTCTGTAAATTTACATTGAGCACTATTTTGTAAAAATAAAAATATCTATAAGAACACCGGGTTATATATCTTACTATTCTTTCTTTTATTTATATATATATATATATATATATATATATATATATATATATATATATATATATATATATATCTGTGATTAATGATTTTTTTATTATTAAGTTATTTCCTTATCTATATAAACATTAGCGCAATCATACATTTTTTAAGCGTTTCACCCCAAGCAAGGCAGGAAGCCACTAGCACGCAAGGGGTTACAGTGAGTTGGAGCGAGAGCAAATAGGAGTGATAGAGGAAAAGATGAAGAGAAGGATAGGGGATAGATCAAGGCATGTGGAGACGTCGATTGACATTACATTTGAATAGCTGGAGATTATAGCTGCCAGGGAAACAGGAGGGACTTCCACAAGCGAGAAGTGCGATGCGTGAAGCCATTGGAGTAGAGGAGACGGCCAGATTTAACAGTTTTTACAGTGAAAGGGTGAGAGCGTGATGTCAGCCTAGTAGAACGCTTAAATTCATAGTCTGGGCACCAGCGAGAGCAGCTCATTGGAGCAGTTACCATGAAAGTATTTGTAAAAAAGACAGAGGGAGGCGACGGCACATCAGTGAGAGTGCGATTGCAGACGAGATGCCAGATCAGGGCCTATTACATTGCATATTCGTCTCTGGATTTTATCAAGAACCTTGAGACATACAGAAGGGGCCACAGACCATATATGGCAGCAGTACTCCATGCAAAGGGCGAGAAAATTTTCCTGGCGTAGCACAGGGTGCCAAATTTCCTTGCGGCGGACGAAGCTATTGACTCAATGTATTTGTTCCATCTCAAGTCAGCAGTCAGTGTGATACCGAGGAGTCGCAAGAGGTGCTCTCTTGGATTTGAGCGTCAGACATTTTAATGGGGAGGCAGGGATTATTCTCTGTGGTGAGTAATAGAGAGCAGTTGTGTTTTGAGGCGTTAAAGTTAACCAGCCAATTCCTGCGCCAGTTCACAACCGATTGGAGGTCCATTTCAAGACGAACGGCCAGGTTAGTTTTGTCAGCAACACTAGATTTGTTTTTGAGGCAGAAGTAAATTGTAGTCTCGTCCGCGTAGATGCCTACTTGGGAATCTATGACGTCAGGAAGATCGTTGATGAAGACAAGGAACAGAGTAGGTCCTAGGATGGAGCCTTGGGGAACACCTACGTTCGTGGAGGAGAATCCGTTGAGAACGACCTTCAATACACGGTTTGACAGAAATGATTGTATTATGTCAAAAACAATCGACCTGTAATTCCATAACCCGAATAAGGCCAGCATGCTAAACCCTATCAAACGCTTTGGAGATCATTTTAAACAGATGTAAGATGGATCAGTGTAGATTTTTCCTGTATTTAGATGAAATATGGAGATAATATAACAAAGGCTGTCCAAGCAAATCCTGTTACCTTCTTATAACAGACGTCGTATACATTCGTAGTTTCTGGTTAATAATATTGTAAGAAAACTCTCGAAGAAAATTTCAGTGAAGAAACTGTTTAATCACATGAGGGATTTGGATTAATAATGCAATAATAGCGAATATCGTAGTTCAGTGCAGCAATGCGTACGACTCCATGCTGTGTCTTGCGACCCACATTGCGACAACTGTTCCAAAGAACAGAGGCTCCTCTTATAGCAAACGGAAGAATCTATAGACAACAATTAATATAGAGAAGGTCGGTCGTCTTTTTACGAACGTTTTTAAGATACGTATTCTCACTTGAATACGTATTTAGTTCTTTTGGTTTCCATTTGATTATAATTTCTTTTTCAACCGCTGCTATCATTCCAGATGCAGGGACAACTGCTTCAGTGTATGACAAATAATTGCTTCAATGAAATAATCGCTACTATACGATCCTACGATTATTTCTAAATCAGGATTTAAATGTTTTAATGATAATTCAGTTGTTAACATGTTTTCAAAAGATTTTTAACATTCATCGCACCCTTTTTTTCATTTATTTATTTAAAGGCGTTCTTAATTTATGCATATTTGGCCACATGAAGATTGAAATAACTTGCGATAGCTAGAAATGATTGTAGAATAGCGAAGTCGGTCGTCCTTGATGTGTGAGGTCTACGTCCATTTGCCTTATTTATATGCTCCAATTATTTTATGTTGCTTCTAAAGAATCAGTCTTTCAGCTTCCTGAGTTTAAACCCGTAAACCTCTATTCTCTGCAATTCTTGTTGTATCTGTTCTCTATGATACTGTCTAATTCGATTTTTATTAGTACGTCGTCCAAATATGCAACGGCAAAATATAAGCCAGCTCGTATTGCATCCATTACTTGCTAGCAAATGCTAGTTGCAACTTTGACCTGGAATGGTCGCCTGTTAAATTTGCATAGTTACTTGTGTGTGAGTGTGTTAATTGTTAACAATTTCTTACATCTTCCACCCACTCCAGTTTCTGCGTATGCCTTAGGTTTTTTGAAAATTCTCCCCACTCCATTTAATTTAGATAAAAATAGTCTGGAGATACTAACGGATATGTGTGGCGTTGTAGACATTATTTAACCATGTAGAAAAATTTGTGCATACACGAATATTATTTTTATATACATACATCCGCTGCTAGAACTGCACACTCAGAATAATTTGTCTCGAAATAAGAGTTTCCAATCTGTCAAGTTCTTTGTTAATGGATCCACAACTGTAAAAGGCAAACTGTGGTTTGGTGCAAAAACAGGAACTACGCTTTTCATAAGTAAAAATTTGCCTTCAAGACTGTAGTAAAAATTTTTTTAAGTGCTTTAAAATATTCAGTCACCATACTTGTTTTAGAGGAGTAGCAATTCACTTTTTTACACAACGAATTCACAGGCAGACACCACAAATCGAATAGTTCCATCCAAACCACGCCTAATATGTTCAACGTATTATTTTTAAATACGAATGCCTTAGGTTCAAAGTTTGAATACAAAGATCTTAGTTTTTTAAAGTTTCAATACGAATGCCTTACTTTTTAAAGTTTCAATACGAATGCCTTACTTTTTAACGTTTGAATACGAATGCTTTAGATTTTAACGTTTGAATACGAATGTCTTAGGTTTAACATTTGAATATGAATGCCTTACTTTTTAATTTTTAATAAGGATGCCTTACTTTTTAAAGTTTCAATAAGAATGCCTTACTTTTTAAAGTTTGAATAAGAATGCTTTAGTTTTTAAAGTCTGAATACGAATGC